AATATATATATATATATATATATCTAGAGTGCCTGTCAACGCTCGCCAGTTGTTATACAGATTATATCACATGTATATTAGGACATATATATTTTGATACGGGATTTCTGAGCTCATGATACAGCCTAACTTACGTCGTAATTTTAACTTTTATGACGAGCAGGGTATTCGTTTGAAACGAAACATGAATTAATTTCGATTCAATCTTCTCCGTCAGGTGATCGTCGTTCGAGATGCCGTTGTTCACGACTGCCGTATTTTTCTCTCACAGTGTGAACAGTTCGGCTATTCCGTTTGTGCCTCTTTCGACGACGGCCGAGGCTCATCCGATGTCCTACCGGCGACCGTTGCGTCGGAGGCGAGGCTGTTACTTGCTCTATTTGCTATAATCAACGAATAATAAATAGACAATGACAGATCGAGTTCAGTTTAATTATACGTGAATCACGAAGACATGTTTACGGGTAAAATTTACGTTAACGTAATATAAACAAAACAGCAGCTACCATACAAGATACTTAATGTACTGTTGTTCATTTACTTTGTCAAATATAAAGCTCTTTTAAAGAGAAGTAAATAAGTCTGCCAACGACCTACTTTTTTCAAGTGCCGATCAAAGATTAAGTGGCCGATCAGTCAAATCGAATCTAAACAATGTTACCCAATCAGACATACAAAACAACACTCATTTTGGTTAGTAAAGAATTGTTTATTTACTGAGTAAATACGTATAATATACAAAAATAAAACGTTGTTAGAATTTGTCGTGAGGACTAGAGGAGCCTTACTACACTCAAGTGAGGTCTGAGATTCGAAGTATGCGTATGAATATTGTTATAAATTAGCCAGGGTTGTTATATAGCTAGGGATCTTTGAAAGCAGATGTTTCCTAGGGGTATCACTTTGGATCCACCGTAATCTCTATGCAAGTATAGTAATGTGGATAAGATTAAGCTCCAAGGCCGTAACCGTAACCGTGAGAAATCTGGATCGATCCCGAAGGAATAGACTTTCCGTAGAGGTGATTATGGTAGCTAGCGAATGCGGGTTCGCTGCTCTTCGTGCCAGGCTCGTTAGTCTTAACGTTAGCCCTGAAGCCCAACTTGTCGGCCTGGTACTCAACGCTGCGGTGTCTTCCGTCAATCTCTCCAAGGTAGTATGACCCTACGACAAGGCCGTGCGAGGCCTTCTCCTGACGCCCCCTTATATTTCCATAGCCGTCCTTGATATTATATTTGAATTCATAGTTGCCGTAATCGTCCTGCTGTACTGCGGCAGCCGAGTGACCTCCATAGTGGTCGCCCGCTAGGACGTTCGCAAAACAGGCGGCAATCGCAATGAGCTGCAATCATGCACAATCATAAACAATATCTAGCGAGAAGCACAAATACCAACATTATGCACCTATGGTAGAGCTAGTTAATAGATACAAATCAGCTTGTGAACAATTTACGCGCTTTTGAATTGATCACGATTCAATAGTAATTCTTCAAAACAATGAGTATTCTCTATCTTGTGATTTCTTTCTACTCACTTGGAACATGGCTGAAATAGATTATTTCTCAAGTCGGTGACGCTGTTGACGCTCGTCAACCGAAGATATATACGGGTTTGGCTGAGTTTTGTACAAGAAAAGGGGTGAGGACTTGTGCCGCCTAGAGATAAGCCTCAACGAAATACGGGATCGACTAGTCAGTGACAATGACGCGGCGTGTATAACTTCGACGATTCTGTAAGGCGCCTCCAACTAACTTTGCTAGTCGGTACGACTATCCTAATCACCGGGCCGGTCATGGCAGCGGCGGTCCATTTTACTGACCAAAAAAAAGCGAGAAAAAAAACGCGTTCAACACTGCGACGCACGGAATAGCTCTGCCTTATCTTTAGTCCTTCTGCTTATTAAATAAGAAAAACATAACCGGGTAATATAGATGTGTTTACAAAATTCGTACACAAATCTACTTGTAAGCTATCGAATAATGGCGTTATACCTATATGTACGTACACAGTGAATTTGATTTGAAAAAGACACGATATGCCGACAATATATTGGTTAACCGTACTAAAAAAGTAGCGCGTCTGAAGCCTTATCTAGTAAAAAACAAAATAGAAACACAACACATAATAACAGGCCATGTGTGTCAAACGATCCATATCGAAGTTTGGCTATACTGTGTTTTTCGTAATGGCTAGTTCAATCATGGACAATAAATACGGTGTTAGCTTTGTCGACTCGCGAAAACTTCTTAAATAATACGATATTATATAGAGCAGGCTAAATAAGTCAAATAGAAATGGCATTGGACATAAAGGCCATGGGTCAAAAAACGTTCAACAGTGAACTCGGTGTACAATACTTAAATAAATAAGACTTTTCTAATTAGCGAAGCCATTCACTATTGTATAAATGCCTTTATAATTATGGATAATAATAGTGATACCTGTCGTAATTATATAGAGTTCAAGTAATTAGCTTTAAACTGATAAGTATCAAAGTGGCACAACCGAAAGATCTATAGGGTATTTTCTCTCGGAGAACTCGATGAAAACACCCACCCAACGGCTTGAAACATTATTTGCAGCCATTCTAAACATACGGCGCTCACAGGTTTAAGATGTTGTTTCAAATCATCAGAGCGGCTGCTCGGTGATGGCGTTCGACTTCATTGAAAACACTATTCTCGAACTTGTAGTTTCCGTATATGGTGGCATCAGCTGTACAAAGTACGGTCACGTGCCAAGTGAAAGGTAAGGGATTTTAATTTAGAATATATCAAAGGTGACTAGCCCATCGAGGCGACATTAACAACTGTGATGGCAGTAGTGATTTGTGGTGTATAAAATCGTATCTGAGGCAAACAATTGAAAAAACATCTTTCAGTCGGTAGCCACAATCATTTGTTGTTTTGTAGATGTCCATTAAAAGGCCACAGTTTAACGGACCGCAACAAAAAGTATGGTTGTCTTGCTTGATTCTTGCGCTGTGGCACATAAATGTAAGTGAGAACCAATGTTAATAAATTCTCTTGTTTTTGTGTAAGTTGCTAAAACACAGATGAAACCGCTAGCATTGATGATCTCCCTTCACAGAAATATTCGGCAGTAGCTATTCAGGCTGTTCATACGTTTGCTGTTTGCTGACTAGTAAGTTCTGCTTATTTGTCAATTTACCTAAAAAATATGAGCGAATTATTTTGAAAAAGTATTCTTTATACGCCTTCTTTTCATATTGATTTTCGTTTTTTGTGATTATTATAAGTAATATTTAATTTTTCTTATTCTAACGGAAAGAGTATTACGCACCATTGGATAAAGAAGGATTATTTCGAGTTGTGATTCTAAGGCTTAGGACGTTGGACTGTGCCTCTATGGAGTAAAGCTTGTGCATACAATAAAACTGGTACATGTGTTATAACCTCATTGGGATTCGATCTGGACCCTGGCATATGTTTGCGGTTACTTAAAAAACTGGGCCACGCACCGAAAAATATATATACCGGTAGACTTGGTGGGCATAGAACTGAGCAGTTTACAGATTAAATATTTTTCTATAAGAAGTTCTAATAGCTTATAACATAATGTAGTCTGAACATAGGTCTTCGGGCCGACCCCGCGTCCGTTTTGCTATATATTGACTCAAGTAGCCTCATCCGTTGATGCTGTACAGATCGCTTTGGTGGACGCTAGCAGTTATTTCTTTGCACAAACCATGATAGTTTGTGGCATCATATGATTTGAGTATAGCTTTTTCACACTTTACCCTGTTAATTGGTTACCCTGTGGCAAAAAAAACACGGCTTTTTACCTGGTTGTCGCCGTCATGCGGAGTTACGCTATGTGTTCAAGGAATGCAACACCCAAAAGTGCATAAGGCGCACTGGTCTTGATTTGCTTTTGTTTTCGCTTTATTATTATATTGTTTTTATTTTTTGGAGTGAATATATTTAGAGAGAACGTAGCATGATCTGTTTCGTCTCAGATGTTCACGTCCTTCTTATCTTTTAGGTCAAAGTAAGCCTTTCTCCAGAAGAAAGAAGTGGCCCAGTCTCAAGCGCAGACCGCTCCAGGGGGAAGCTTAGCTCTACCAGCTAAGAAAAAAGCTTCACCACTAGAAGCGTGTATAGATCATATTATATATTTTTTTCATTGACATAAATTTTTCATGTGATATATATCATTAGATCTGATTATACTTAAGAATAAATTAAGTATCGATAGACCCACAGCCATACCCCAGTGTCACCACACGCCAACTGCGCGTAGTGCTTGAGGTACCACTACGAAGCAAACCTAGCAATTTAAATAGTTGAAGGAAAATTTCGTAGAGTAGCTTTTTCGGTCTTAATTAATGACAACTAATCCTTTCGTTCATTATTTCCTATAGCTAAATTGATCTGGCTCGCAATTTAGGCTTGCACAACTTTTATCTGTTCTCTTAGATACGTTTGCTGATGCTTAATGAAGCCGGCTAATCTACTTAGAAGACGAACGTTATAGACCAAGTGATCATATCAAGACTAAAGAGAAATCTGTGTGCCTATAGGACCATCGCGCTCCTTGGTATATGTTTCAGGGTGAAAGATACAAAAAAAACCTAATAAATTATATTCATCGTACTTAATACAGATGCATCGATTTTTCGACGCTAGTATATGTTTATTTAATACTAACCGATGTACACGCAACGAAGCCAAGAATTTTCCAAGGGTCCACACATCTGTGGGTACTAGCGAAAACAACGTACCCTATACTTTAACCAAGAAAATTCGCGTTGCGCTGCTTCAGCAGTCTGGACTCTTGTATGGAAGATATTATGCCAATGCACTATTTCGATAAGTCCTACACACTGTATTAAATACAAGTTTTGAAGATAAGTCAGTCTGTGATCTGTCATAAGTAAACGAGGCTTCATTCCAGCTAGGTAATGAAGTGGCACAGCCCTCTCGTAATTCGAACGAAATCAGTGTTTAGCTTAAGTTTAGAAAGCTATAATGGTAACTGCACCAGTAACTTTTAACTAATTTCTAACCTGACCATAGATCATGTATATGTACATAAAGCGTTTGTCAGCTACAAACAAAAGTGAATAAAAATTGGATTTTTTTAATTAAAATTCAAATCATAATGTATTGTCATAGACGTTCGACTGGCAAATACAAATAATGACAGATATAATTAAAAAAAAAAAAAATCTCGAGAACATGGTGCGCGAATACAATAGCGATCCTTTGCTTAGGTCGTTTTACACATAATACCGTGTGAATCTTTATAAATCTTGAGCATGACTATGAAGTAAGATCTATTCTAAAATACAGTGTTGGTCTTTTTAATGATTGAATATGTTACTGAATTAAGGTTACGAAGGTCGAATACAAGAGCCTAGACCTGAAATGCGCATCTCATTGAGTGCGTTGCCATTGTCACCGCAGACAAGCGGCCACCGCTGGTTTAAATTTTAGCGCTGGAAGATGGTTCCCACGTCATATCTCTTATACCTTTTATAGGTCTCTCAAAGACACTCCAGTGAAGTCCAGCAAGACTCGCTTCGGATTGAGGAAGCTTTTTCATGTTATGCCAAAAAGGTGACCCGGAGACCTGTTCGTGCAACAGAAATAACCGAAAGCTTGTACGAACAAATAAATAATTAAATAAAAATAGTAAATGGAATATCTATTTACTCTAACGTAACGTCTGACTACGTGCGGATAATTTTTCCCTTCTACGTTAAACCTAGCAATAGTTTCAGTCGAGGCGACGTTTGCAAGGCTGTCTCCACGGGTGAATTCTATTTTATATGTTTGCCCTAAATGCACAAGAAGTGGTTGTTTTTTCTATAAAGCACAAATGATACGATTTCGCTCACGTTACAAACAGTGATAGGAAATGTGTTGCGATAGTACGAGCCTAGCAGTAAGATAAGTTCTGCACGTTTAAGCATAAATGTCGTTATACTACAAACGGATGCGCTATTCCTGCAGATAAATTTAGAAAAAATCATGGCATCATTGTGACACCTACGTTATGTAAATAGTTCTGGCCACCTCCATTATCTAACTATTCAAAAGCCTGAATTCTATTGCATTTCAGCCTCATTAAGGCTTAGTCTGACCAAAACAAGTACGTTGTTGTCAATTCTGGCATTTAAAACGGCGCACTGAAGCTCTCGGGTATGCAAAATCCAAACTTACCCCGCAACTGACACAAACAGGTACTATGGATAAATGAGTAAAATTTATTTTTTTAATATTACATGGTATGGTAGTGCAGACAGACGTACGTTTGATCGTATCGAAAGTTTCATGTCTTTAAAAAAATAGTCTTAAAAGCGGGCAATAATACCCACTAAAACAGCTAAGACCAAAGGTGCGAATAAGATGTAAAGGGATCAAAGCTAAACCTGTTTATCGCCTGTACTATTGAATATAGACATTGAACTCCTACGTTACAAATGTCTCTCTCTCTCTCTCTCTCTCTGACAAAGTAAAATTGACTTTCATTTGACTAAACACCTATATAACTATTTTATTTTCTGCAATATAATTCATCCAGAATATTGCAACATGTCTGGACGATGAAGCAGGAGCTCTAAACAATTCAGCCCCTAGGGCCCTTAAACCAAAACTCGAGG